AACTACATGGGTGGGATAAAGTTAGGCAAGTTTTATTAAACCCTAAATAATTATGCAAATAATTTAATTGACTAATAGGTGGACACAGTTTACTTTATAAAATTATTTTCAGTGGGTACATCTACATGTGCATTTACACGTGACTAAATTTAATGCACATTAAGCTAATATGCATTAAGCAAAATTTGGCAGGTATCTATATGTGCAGAGACTTGGCACTAAATTTGGTGCCAAGTCCCTGCAGCCCTGCCATGTGCCCCTAGTGGCTGGGCGGACCCAGCACTACAGCTAGTGCTGGGTTGCATCTACACATGCCTTAATGTGCTTTAATTAATCATGCCTACATTTGAAGGTATCAAATGTAGGCACAATTAGCCTAATTTTGCCATTTCAATGCACATTAAGGGTGTGCACGTGTAAATGTGCACCCATAATGCACATTAAATGAAGCTAATGGTCATTAACACATCACATGTAGACGCACCCAGTATAAATAAAAAATAAGAGAAATGATTGTTTAGAGCATTCATAAGACTTTTAGCTATGTTTAAACTAATTGTGGAAAATTTCTACAGTGAATTTCAAGAAATAAATGATTCTATTCACTCTTTTATTGTGGCACAGATTTCCTAAGGCATTTGATACAAGACTAGACGAACTAAGATCTGAGAACAAATTATCATTGATGAGATTTGGCATTTATTTGACCCTTAGAAAATAAATTATTGAGAACAGTTTTGCATGGCAGAATGAATTAAGAAGCTCCAACTTATTATGACTAGGGACTTACTGAATTTGGGGCAGCTGCCCCTGATTTCATGACAGAATTCGGGACCCAGCAGCCATTTCATGGGCAGAGCATGGCAGGCTCCCCCATGCCTTGGTGGCCCTGCCTGTCACCAACAATTGGTGGTACATGGGCAGAGCCACATGGCAGGCAGCCCTGGCAGCCAATTAGCAATGAGAGGCGGGGCCAGCAGCTATCTTGTGAGCAATCCTTCAAGTGGGCAGATCCTCTTCCCTGCCCTGGAAACTGCTAGCTCTTTCTAGGGAGCCAGCATTTTCTTTTCAATAAGTTCTTTTTTTCCCATGAATTTCACAGGCATTGCCCAATTTTGCAGCCAATGCCAGATTTCACAAATCTTTTCTAAAATCTAGTGTTGTTATCCTGTGCCAAGTCTTCAGTGTTTATTGTAATGCTGGCCATTTTTGTTTTGATTCATGATATATACATAATTGTTGTAGATTATATGTCCTCTTGCCAAGAGAAATGCCACACACTTCTCATCTTCTTTTCCCAAGGACCAATATTTAGTACTAAAATTCAGGGTTTTACCTTTTATAAGTTTTAGCTAGGCACAATATTTTCTGAAGGTTTTCAGCTGTTAGAGTGTATTTCAAACTCTAAACATTACAAAACAAAGAAACTACTTTCTACATCTTGAGAAACCCTTAAACAATTTTAAAATAAGTGTTGCACCTCATATTTTCAAGTTACTGGCAGAAACAGTAATCTTCTACAGCTCAGTACACTCTATTAAATATGAGTAATAAACATATTGATCATAATGGTTCTCTTAGCTGATGAAGCATCTCTTGTGGATGAAACCGCAGTGCCATATGGCTTTAATGTACTCAATATAGTCTTCTTAATAATCACTATAAAATGCATCTTAAAATTATGCAGGACAGCAATAGAAAGTTTCAACCTACTTTTCCAAATTGCCAATAATATACTGTGACTGTAGATAAGAAATTGACTAAACAAAGGACAAAATATTTAAATGATTAACAGTTAACATATCTGTTTAATAACTGTGGTTTACGACATTGTGAATTACACTAATTTTAACTTTAATGCCCCATGATGAAATGTGTGAGTAATGCATCTAGCTAATTGAAATTGATACAGAAAACAAAATGCACCATTCTTCTAGCAGTGTAACTAATGTAACGCAATAGAGTTTCCACAGAGAGAATGAGATCCAGCATCTTATTAGAATTTTAAATGTACATTTTAAATGGAAACATTCTTTTAAATATGAAATAAGTTTACTGCCTAAATCTGGCAGAGAATGATGTAATAAATAGCTGAGTTTAAATTTAGAGCAAAGTTAAAGTTATGTTAAATTATGCCAAGATTATATTATGTTCCTTTTTTTTCTTCAAATGTTTATTTGTCAACAAATTACATTATTACATCAAATCAATCCGAATCCTAATCTGGAGAAAAGCAATGAAATAAAGCATTTTACCTGCTAAAAATTAATAGGAGTAGAGTTGGTTCTGACACAACCAAATTGGCAAAAACAATCAAGGTCTTTTTTAAATATAAGCCTGAAGGGAATAGTGTAGAGGACTAAGTTTTAGGTTTAACACAGACTTAATTCCTGGAAGCATTGATTTTGGCCCTTTATTTTTTTTAAATTAAGATAACTGAATGCTATCCAGAATTTGAAAATGGAAGTTGTCTTTGCTTTGCCTGGAGATTAAATGTTCCAGGGCACTTTTCTGTAGGTAGGTGGTTGTCATTCTATTCTTGCCAAATTTCTCTTCCATTTGCAGTACGCTTTGTGTTGGTTGACAGCCTAGCTACACCCTGTTTCTTATACACTACTGTATTTCAGGCCTCGCCTGAAAGCAAGAAACCTGTTTGGGGAAAGAAACTGAGATTTTGGCATTTGCTTTCATTATGCAATGGAATGATTAAAAAAAAAATGTGAGTGAAATAGAGACCACCTCGGAATAGCTAATAAGCTAATGGTTTGCCCAGTTTGGAGCAGGCATTTAAACCTCAGCCCCTCATTTCAGATGGGTGCTATAAAAACCACTAAGCTATACAGTCAGCCTCTCTCAACTTCTTCTGTTAGAGTTGTTTCATTTTTAAAACATAAATATTCATGTAACTGCAAGAACCCCCGCCCCGTACTTATGAATAATATTTAAAAGTATTCTAATTTCTTCTTGAACTGTATTCTGAACACACCCCGCCAATTAACCTCTGCTGAAATCACATTAGGAGTCAACATTAAAGGAACCCTCTTCTTTTATGTCAGTTTGTCAATGTATGCCTCCCTGGTACTAACAGTTCCAGGAGCATTATGAGAATGTAGAGCTCGAGAAGCAGACAGTACTATGTCTTTTCTCTTAATGCTTTAGCAACAGATGATTATTCATCCTTCTTCCTCAGTGGTATTAGTGGTGCTTCAAGTTAGAGGACTTTAATGGCAAACTTCTCAAAAATGGCAATATTTTGTACTTGTGAAATTTTGCTCGGGCAAATACTTGCATAAGAAATTTGAATACTTGCATACCTGTCATAAATATAATATGTGAACAGTATAAAATATACTCCTATGAACTTTCAGGTACTTGCAGGCTGAGGTATCATTGAAAACTTGCCTTTTTGTCTTTATTCATTCAACAATATTTTGCGGGTATTTTAATTCATTTTTCAGTATAGTAGGACCAGAGTGTCAACTCTCTTGCCCCTTGTTAACGGCCACATCATTGACTTCACTGCTTCTTTCCTAGAGTTGCCATGTTATAGAGGATTGTCATTAAGAACCTGACTGCATATTGCATTTTGTATTTGCATAGTTTAATGGAAAATTGAATCTGGTTCATTGATTTGAGGGGATATAAAAGATTCCTCTCTCCTATACACATATTGTCCCTAACATGACATAACCCTAACACATTTCTTTTACTTTTCTGGCTTTTTCTCACGATTATTATTTAAAACATTAGATAATGTTTTGGACATGCATATGTTTTGGACATTCATGCATATATGTTTTTCATGGCGGAATTACACTGGAATATAGAAATACTATGCTAAAAATAAATTATCCTTATTCTACATATGGTCACAATCAGTATCCACAAACTTTGCCCTCTCTAATGTTACAGTACTTGTTGTAGCATGGAATTTAAAGTAAGTTTATAGTATATAAATGTTATGCATTTGATACTAGTTTTCTGTGATTTGGACTAGTTACCCTGGTGTATAGTTTACTGTAACTCCCTCTTGATATATCAAAGAGATTGTGAAAGTTTTGAAATGCTTAGGACTTGTTTGGCAGACCTCTGGAAATTGTATGTTTTACTAGTTTAATGGTGTACAGACCTCTGTCTCCTCAACAAAAAGGACAATATTTTACAGTATCCAGAATTCATGAGATCACACATGTTTTCCCAATTGATGATGAATTACAGGTTACCTCCTTAAGTTGGAGACTAAAAGTGAGGAGGAAAATTAAATCAAACATCCTAAAAGGTAACAAGCTAGAAATGTTGATAGTTATTACATGTAGATAGGTCTAACAGTTGAGTGGGCCTCGTGTAAGTGGGGTGGGTTAGGAGGAATTGCAGAAAAACTCAGACATCATTATCATAATATTTGAGGGGGTTAATAAACAGATGTGAGGAGCTAAAAGTACATTTCTAGAGAAACAGAGAAGGAAATATATAAAATACTGATCTGGGACATTTTGGTTGGAAGTTCCCCACTGCTATTTGCCCACTATGAAAAATGTATGTCACACTTGATCAGCAATGTCATCATTAGAGCCCACTTACATTTCTTTTCAATGACATCCCCATGCCTTTTTCTATTCTGCTCCCCCTCCTTGCAATTATATTAGAATCCCTTTTGTGTATGCATGGGGTTCTTGTCCTGCAGAGATCAGGTAGGGAAGAACCGGAGAACCATCTTTATTAACAAATGTCTCCTTTACACTCATGCAGATCAGCAAACAGCAATACAAGATCACACAGTTCAGTCAGCACCCTCCACTGATGGAGTATAGAACATACACGCAGACATACTCAATACAGAACACCCCTCCTCCCTAGCTAATGTAGTCCTATAAGTATTTGGCCCAGATAATGATCTGTCTTGTGAGGCCCACTTCAGAGGTAATGGACTTTTCATGGAAACAGCTGTCGCAGGGCACCTCGGTGCTCTGCTCCTAGAGAGGGGAAACTGCGGGGGGAAAAGAGCCCTAGCAGGGAATAAGAGCCCACCTGCGGGTTGCCAGGGCAACTGGAGGCAGCGAATGACCCACACCTGAGAGTGGTCAGCAGGCTGTAAGGGGCAAGGCCTGGCCCTTATAAAGCCCAGGGCTGAGGCCAGGCTGGCAGTTCCCTGCCAGCAGCCAGAGAGGCAGGAGCTCCTGGAGTAGGGATGCGAGAAGCAGTGAGAACCGCAGGTACTGCCTAAGCCAGATAACAGAAGGCAGCTCTAAGATGTCAGAGCCATGTGGTTATAGCCAGGTGGCTTACAGTTATGTTGCAGCCCAGGGGCTTGTGTTTTGTTTTGTTTATCACGCTGGTGGTTTGGGCGAGGCTATTAGGGGTTGGAGAAGGCCTTGTAGGGACCCACAAGGGTGTGGGGCCCTAGTGCCGGTGAGGGTGCAGTATCCTTAAAGGGGCCTCACAGCGGAGTGTGAGGACCCCGGCGCCCAGGAGGGCGCAGCATATGGGGTGTATAGACCCCAGCCCTAGAGATGGGCACTTTTTGAGAAGCCCTAGCGTGAGTGTAGCAAGCCCCAGAGAAGGGGGCACTATTGGGAAGCCCTAGTGTGGGCGTGGCAAGCCCCAGAAGGGGGGTTGCCCTACTGAGAAGCCCAAGTTGGGCACGGCGAGCCCTAGAAGGGGGGGATCGCACTTCTGAGCAGCCCCAGCGCGGGCATGGTGAGCCCCAGAAAGGGGGCGACATTATTAGAAAAGCCCAAGTGTGGCACGGTGAGTCCCGGAGAGGGGAGCGCCTTATTGAGAAGCCCAGTGCGGGCGTGACGAGCCTCAGGAAGGGGGGCAACTTTGAGAAGCCCAGGTGTGGATGCAGAGAGCCCCAGGAAGGGGGCAATATTTGAGAAGCCCAAGTGTGGGCATGACGAGCCCCAGAGAGGGGGCACTATTGAGAAGGGCCCAAGAGAGGGTGACAGCGCAGAGAAGGCCTGGAGTGGGCGAGGAGAGCCCCAGGAGGGGGCGGCAGTGTACATAGAAAGAGAGACAGACAGACAGACCAACGTCGATTCCGTCTGCGAGGCTTGGGGCGTGGTATCAGGGGGTGGTTGGAGCCACGCATAGCCCATAAGGCTAGGGTGCCCCAAAGCACCTATTTGCAGGAGAAAACCCACGAGGAGTCTGGGAAAACCACGGGGTCTGTGTCAACATAGAGACGTGTCCAAGAGGGCGTAAGGCAGCCTCCCAACCTTATCTAACAGCAAAGACGTGGCGGACGAGAAACAGAGGGTGCCCTTGGGCCAACTAGGCACGGAGAGGGGGCCTTAAGGAGATCACGGCCCTCCTGCAGGACCCCTCCGTGCCACAGCAATAGGCTCTTTTGGTTCTTCTAGAGTATTCAGCTACTGCAGAAGTGTTGATGGAGCTCAAACTGCAGCTGATGGACTCATTGGAGCCTGGTGTTTTAGAGGTCACATTGTCTGAGATTTGGCCTCACATCTGATCAATATGCCTGTAAAATGTTTTTTTTTCTATCTGGAGTTTGGATCTTACATGATACTGGCCCTGTAGCTTGAAGGACAGACACAGGGACCCACTGTAGCCCAGTTGCATCGTTTCAAATGTACACAAGCTCATCTGATTCAAAGGTTCTTACAGATGAAACATCTGGATTGCTTGCCTGTCTGGTATTTGGCTATCATTTCTGGATGCAGCTGATCCAACCCATTAGTTTTCAGCTAGTGGTTCATTAGTAGTTCTGCAGGACCGTGACCTGTAGTAGTGCATGGAGTTACCTGCTGTTGTAAAAAAAATAGCTAATTATTTCCATTCACCATTAATGCATCAGTTCAATGTATCTTTAGTAGTTTAGACCATCCGCTCAGCTTGGTCATTTGATGATGGATGGAATGGTGCAGATGTGATGTGACAGATACAATTCTTCCCTATAAACTTTTTAAATTTTTGAAATGGAATTGTGCAGCATTGTCAGGTACAATGATATCTGGAAGACCATGTATTGTGAACAGCTGCTGTAAAACTCAGATTACAGTGTGTGAAGTCATTGATGCAGTGGAAAAAAACTTCCATCCACTTTGAAAAAGGTTCAATGACGATAAAGAGCATTTAGCCTTGGAAAGGGCCAGCAAAACCTTTGTGTTCCTGAATCCATGGTGTCCTGGTCACTTCCCACAAATGGATTGGAGACTTAGCTGGTATAAGGCATGTATGTTGGTATTGTTCCCACCACTTTGCTGTTTGCTTGATGCCAGCATCTATCTTTGGCTACTAGATGTAATATCTGGCAAGCACTTTCATGCAACCAATCCCCAGATGCCCCACATAGGGAACATCAGGAACTTGTGTTCAACTTGCATTGGGAAGGTTATCCAATAGAAGGCATCCCCTAAGGGCATAAAGTCCATATTGATATATAATGAAAATGGCTTAAATTCATCTGTGACCCTTGCTGAAGGCCACCCTCTCCTCAGTTTAGTACTTGAGCTAACACTGGATCCTTAAAAAGCAAAAAAAGCAGTCAGATGCCTGGAGAGGAGGATTGAAAGAGGATTCTAGCATCAGAACTTTGGAGAGAAGAGGAACAGTGAATTTAGGACAGGATAGCAGCAAATGACTCAGTGGATCTGAATTTGCTATCATTTTCCCAGGGCAGTGTTGAAATTCATACTCATATGCATTTAAAAGTAAGAACCAACAAAACATATATGGTAAAATGATTGGAGGCATTGGTCCATTCTTAGTAAATAATCCAAGCAATGGTTTATGATTGGTCACAATTGTGAATTTGTGGCCATATACATAGTCATGACATTTCTTAACTCCGGTGAGAACTGCAAGAATTTCCTTATCAATTTGGGCATAATTATTGCAGTCTTAATCATAGTTAATGAGCAGTAGGCAATAGGAACTTCATGTCCATCATTCTGCTGGTGACTGATGGTAGACTCCACTCCACACAGTGAAGCATCACAAGTAAGCAGAAGTTGCTTCTCCTTGTCATAATGGACTAGCACAGTCAGATGATGACAATCACTTCACATCACTGAAAGCCTTGTCATTCAGTTTAGTTACTTTACAGGTCATATCCTTATCCAGTATACTATTCAGAGGCTCAGCAACTCTAGGCTTGTCTGTTAAGAAAGAATGGTAGAAAATAAGTAGACCTGGGCATGCTTTCAATGCCAGTTTATTCTTAAGTGTTTGGGGCCTTATGAATAACCCCTACCTTTTCATTCATTGGATGAATTCCAGTGGCATCAACTTGGAACCCCAGGAATTCCACACAGTTCTCTTTCATGAGTTTCAGGCCAGCATTGCAGATGCAGCATAACACTTCTCACAGTCAGACATCTAATTCTGGCATGGACCCTGCTCTGATGAGGATATCATTAAAATTGGGTATGACTCCCCAAAAACCTGCAAGTCATGTATAACCTTTTAGAAAACACCTGGTTCAATGCTCACGCTAAATATTAGGTGCTGGCTCAGAAGTCTCCCTTATGGGTGATGATTATCTGTGCATCAGCCATTTGATCATCCACAGAGAGTTGCAGATATCTTTGGGCCAAGTCTAATTTTTAGCAAAAAATATCTCTCCAGCAGGAGTGGCAAGGATCTGGTTTACTGTTTGAATCTGATATGGGTGCCTTAATAATGGTATACTTGTAGTCAGCACATAATCAAATATCACTGTTTGGCTTTATGATGGATAAAAGTGGTCCATGTTGGATTCAAATTTGCTTCAAGAACACCTTGTTCCATGAACCAATCAATCTCTGCGTCAATTTTTGGATGAAGGGTAAAGGCAATATGATAAGGCTTCACTGAAATTGGAGCCACAGTCAGTTCCAATGCAAATGACATAGGCTGGCCCTTATAGGCACCAAGCTGTTGGTTGAAGACTTTACTGAAATTTTTGTAAGGTGTCCATCATAAGGCTGTGCACTTCTGTTAATTTGATACCCAATGGCTCAAACTATTCTCCTCCCAGTAAACTTGCTTTCTGACTCTTGGCAATTATTAGGCGGAGGACACCTCAGTTCTGCTTATAGTGGATGTTGTCATTACATGCACCCTTCAAATATATTATTTGATTGTTATAATCTACAAGGTTTGATTCACATGGCACAATAGGTGGACAATTTCTAGGCTATGGTGAGTTGTACATCTCTTCCGAAATTAAGGTAAATTCAGATCCTGAGTCTACCTCCATAGCTCAAGAAGCACCTTAGATAATCACTGTTGTATGGGTCTTTTTCTGTGGGGTTGGTTTTTTCACATTGGTAGCAAATACAGTAATGTAGACATCAGGAGACAACTTGTGCTTGAATTTTATTGGGATGAATAACAGTATTAATGGTAACTGCAGGTGCACTCCTCTTGGTTACCTTCTTCCTGAAAAAAGTCTTGGACTTCTGATGCCACACATGGTATCACTTTTCTGTGATGGCAGTTGGCATCAGAAAAATAGCATGCATCATATCTGTGATTTCCCCTACAGCTATAGCAGTTTCTCTGGGAAGATGGATTTGTGCATGGGTGGTGGCTTTCTTCAAGATTTTTCCTTGAATGCACTTGGCATGTTTTGGCCAATGTCAGTTTTATTGATGATGCTTGTGATTTCTCTTGAATGGAGTGAGGCAGCTTCATATGCAAGAGCTGCTTCTTGAGCCATGGAAAATATTATGTTATGCTATGCAAGACATTTGTGTTGTAGGGTTTCATCTCAATGCCCCCCCCCCCCACACACACACAGACAGACAGACAGACAGACAGACAATCCCTAAGAGAATCAAGACTGGTGCTGAAATTACAGTTCTTAGACAATCAACAAAAGCTGATTATGTCTGCACTGGCAACTGACTTTGTTGGTTGATATGGAACCAGCAAATGGTTGGCACAAAGTGATTTTTTTTTTTTTAGCAATTTGAGGATCTCATGGTATGACTTATTATGGACTTTGGCTGGAAATACAAGTGATCTCAAATAATCTCAAAAGTTTTTGACCTATTACACTCAATAGCACTGCACATTTCTGGTTATCATCAGCAACCTTATTAGCTTCCAGATAGAAGTCTAGCCAGTTAGTGTAGAAGTTCCAGGTGGATGGACTAGCCACATAAAATTCCTTAATGTGGGCCAAAGTAGCCATATTAGATAGAGAGCAACTGCACAGGCTAACACATGGGAGGAACAGGGCCTCAGTCTCTTCTCACTTGCATCATGGATCACTGTAAGTTTTTTCATTTGTACTTTTTTGACTGAAGCACTAGTAATATTGCTACTCATTGGGATCCCACATTTGTCACCGTCTTTGTGTATCTGTGGGGTTCTTGTCCAGAGAGATACCACAAGGAAGAACAGGGGAACCATCTATATTAATAACAACTAGCTACTCCTTAAACAATAAAGCAGAACAACAAACAACAAGCAATAACACATGATAATGCAGTTTGGGTACTGCCCTCTGATGCAGTAAAGAACATGCAGACAGAAACACAATACACAAAGATCCCATTTCTCAGATACCACCCTCATTCAACTACTCCTAAAAAATTCACTTTTTTCTCAGTGCCAACAGCTGTTGGCACTGGTAAGCATTATTAAACATTCAACATGCAATAAAATCTTTTTCTGGGTCTCCAAGCTTCTAAATCTGTCCTGCCTCTTCTATAACTGTCTTATAGATGTATGTTTTTTGCAGAAAACTGTCTTTAGTCTTGTGTGCTATATGGTGCTGAGAGCCTTGATAAGGCTAAGTGGAGATTAAAATAAATATTAATGGTGTAAAAATAAATAAGACTAATGATGAATCGAACTGTATTATTTGTATAGCGTTCATATAAAATATTCAAAAGGATCTTCTACCTTTTTCTCTAGACAGGCTGTTCTTGTACTTCCTTTCCCACCTTATATACCATTCCTTGCCTCTGGTCTACATAAACAGAGTTCACTAATCTAATCTGCTCAAAATGCTTTCGCACTTTGCACTAAAAATATGGAGTGTCCTTCTTTCTCAGCTCCCATGCCATGGGAATCAATTACTTGAAGTTTTCAGAACAATGGGTACAGCTTATCTGCTTTTCTTGGCATTAACACCATGCTGTAAGGTTTTAACTATTTTTTATGTTTGACTTTTTTTTTGTATTTGTACAAGTTTCACAGGCTTATACCAGGAGGTAGTCTGATTTCTATTATGACATAAACAATAAAAAGTCATACTGAGTAATGCTAGGAACATACTAATTTTAACTATCAATTGATATTAACTGCATAAAGGTAGAGCAAGCTTTAAAAGACCCAGTGGGTGCATCTACACAAGATGTTTAACTGTGCAATAGAATAGTTCACTGTGCAGTAAACGTGTGTGTCTACATGTATGCACACTTACAGCTCAGTATAAACCCCTAATTGCAAATAAATTTGATACCTGCAAATGCAGTTATCAAATGTACTTGCAATTAGTTACTTTGCAGTAATGCACATGTAGACATGACGTCAGGCTAGCCCCATGGCTCTGGGCTGGAAGCGTCTCCTGCCCCAGGGCTGGGCTGCCTCTATGGCAGACTCTGCCTCAGGTCATTAAAAGTCTGTGGGCAGTTTGAGCTCTGGGGCACACCAGCAGGCAGCCTGAGGCAACTTCAGGCCCTGTGTCTTCCTGGGCAGGCTGCAGATTAGCCTCATCAGCCTGCCTGTACCTCAGCACTACTGCCTGGTGCCATAGTGCTACGTGCCTTCCAGGACCATGTCATCCAGGCTTGCAGGCTGCAACAGGCTTGATCCAGGCCTGCCAGCCCCCAAGCCCTGCTGCAGGCAGCTTCTGGTTACTGGGACCAGCTCCACATGCCTACAGCCCTCCTCCAGCAGCCTCCCCTAATCATGCAGATGCTTCCAGGAACTGCCTCAGCCATGTACCTCTCAGACCTACACCAGACCCCAGTGTTGGGCACTGCAGGCAGCTCTCCAGGCTCAGCAGCACAGGGACAGCTGTAAAGAGACTCAGAGAGCTGGCATGGGACCCACAACGGCCTCATCATTGCCAACCTTCCCTGCACCAGTTCTACACTGGGGGGAGGGCCCTCCCTGCCCTGGCCCCTATCCCTAACCCCTGCTCCTGCTCCCTCTCCCCACCCAGCCCACCTGCACTCCTCTGGCCCTGGGCTCCACCCCGCCCCCCCCACAGCACTCAAGGAGGGGGGAGACAGTGCAAAACTTTATTGAGCTCCCCATGCCACTGCAACTAAGTAGGCATAGTTCTCTTGCATTCTGAGGAATATGCCAATGCCAGCGGTGTTATCCTCCTCACTAGGAGAGGGCAGGGATATGTAGCACAGCCACAGGTAGCCCAACAGATGGCAGCAGAGGTTTTGGGGCAGCCTGGGCTTGATTTGCCCACTATCATAGCTCAGAGTACCATACCAAGTGCAAAGGTTCACATGTACAGCAGCAGGGTGTAGGGGATCAGGCACCCCTCAGTCCATGCAAACAGCTCCTCATGCACCACCTGGAGCAGATACAACAGGAGCACACTCAAGGCACAGTGGCAGCATGTGGGGGGTGCAGCCCTAGGGCACTTTCCTGGAGAAGACCCCTGCAGGTAGGGCAGGGGAGCAGGCAGCTCTTCATCTCAGTTATCCAGAAGCCCCATGACCTCCAAGCCCAGGTGCCTTGGGATAGTTATCAGCACAGAAGAGTAGTTGGCCTTCAGGGGCAGGTGGGGAGCAGCTGCCAATAACCTGGCCTGTCCTACCCTGGGAATGGGGCGGGGCAACCAGTCTGCCTGTGGCCAGTACCCAGCAGCCTACTGGCCCCAGGGGAGCTAGCAGGGATGTGGGACTTGGCCATAGGCCACTTGGGCCCAGGCCTGGCTACCCAACTTAACATGGTCCCTGGGAACCCATGCATGCCCGAGCCCTGACCTGAGGCAACATATTGCCCCTGGTACAGAGTATATTATCTCTGAAATGTTGCAAAGTCACATAAATAACTTCTTTTTCATGACTTTGCAGGGCCTGCAGCTGCACATGGGGGAGAGGCCACATTTGGCAGCCAGGTCACTGGTGCACACATCTGGGGCCCTGCAGATGTACCAGCTCTGCCAGAGGAGGACCCTGGACATGACCCTCCTCCTGGACCACCTGGTCATGGCATCAGAGGACCAGCTGACAGAAACTCAGGTATCGGTTGGAGGATGTAGCCCTCCAGGACAGATGGTACATGGAAGATGTGGGATACCAGGACATGTGGCAGGCAGAGGATGTGGCCTGGGAGGATGTGTGGGACTTGTGTGAGGAGGCATGGGACCAGGTAGATCAGGAGTTCCAGGCACGGTTCCTATCCCTGGAGTGCAAGCGGATGGAGGCAATGTGAAAGCAGACCATGGTCCTCTGCAGGCCACAGTCCAGTGCAGGCCCTGGACAATGAATTCCAGGTGCTAGAAACTGTTCTGATCCCAGCAGCCCCTTCATGCCACCCACTTCCCTCTTCCTGAACCTAGTCTTGACTGTCCCCTGGCAGCCACCTGCTGCCCAGCAGCAGGCCCCTGCCTGAGCTTGGGAGAAGGTCCTGCACCACCTCCAGCATCCAGGAATCTCTATAAGTGCTGCCTGAGCATTGGTATGATGGTGTAACAGGGAACCCCTTCCCCTCTTACTAGGAAGTGGTGGGAGTGTAGCCAGAGGCAGGTTACAGGGAACCTGGGAGCAAAGTGGCAGCAGGTGGGAGTTGCCCAGGTGAACTCAGCCAGAGGCTAGAGAAGGGCAGGATGCTAATAGAAGAATTGACAGCACCTGGACCCTGGGTTCAGGAAACAGGGTCACGTGACTAGAAGGGGACTGGGCGTGGGGTGTATAGGCTAGGGACATACATTCAAAAAACCTGAATTGATTAAACCTTTGCAGGTTAGTCTAAGCTGGCTAGGCTGAACTGGTTTCCAACCATACAGACAGTCCCTCTGGACTGAGGAAATTCAGGCACATGCCTGCAGTGGCTTAGGCTGGAAATCACAGTGCACTAGAGCAGCCCTCCCTGGCCATGCAGAGCTGAGCCGAGGGGGACGTAGTCAGGTTCCAGCAGGGCTCAGGGCTCTGATTATGGAGGGGTGTAAACCCCCACCATGCCTACAGTCCCAGGCTTTTTCCCGCTTGCTGTGCAAAGGGTGGGAGTATTGTCAGCCCCCAGCCAGCACTGAGACAAAGGTGGGATGTGCAGTGCATGCATCTGTTGATGATACAGAGCTTTTCACTCTCCCTCCCTGCTTCTGTATACTGCCTGCAGCAAACTGACAGGCAAGTAAGCCGGGGTTGAGGGGGCTGATAACCATGTTTAATACCTTTCTCTCAGTGTTTATCACCCCATTAATACTGTTGATTCTACCTGTTGATTCAGCAGGGACCGTAGCCAGCATGTGGTCTGTTAGCTGATACACAAACACCTCCTCAGCAAGGCAGAGGGGAAGGTGGAATTCCTGCTTAGCAGGGAGTGGGGAGGAGGGGGAAGGGGGGAGGAAACAGGTCTTAAACAGTGTTTCCAAGGAAAGACATTAAGCTACCTGTTAATTAGCTCCAAAAAGTCTTTCTGACTCTGTCCTCTCCCACAGCATGGACTATAGCCAGCAGGTGGTCTGCTAGCTAATGCTAAGATGTCTGTGCGGGATGGGGGAATGCCTGCTTAGCACAGAGTGGGGAGGAGAGGTGGGGAGCAGAAGCCAGGCAGATGCTGCAGAGACTGTGGAACTGTAGCCAGGGGGCATAGGGGAGGGGCAAGACCTGCTGTGGCGCAGAAAGCCCCTCCCGGCCAGAGAGCATGCCGGGATACTGAGGGTGTCTGGTTTATCTCAAACCAGCAAAGAGTCTGGGACAGACATTGTATAAACTGGTTTGACCCAAATCACTTAAGTCTGATACTATATTCAAACAGATTTATCTCAAACCGGTTTCAGCCATTTCCAAACTGGTTTATGTACACTAAACATCTGTTCTGTTACAGGTTTAAAACAGTTTCTGATCATTTAAACCAGTTTATGTGTAATGTCTGTCCCTAGCCATAAACCCAGCCTTTAGCTATAGAGGTTTGTCTTCAGCTGCTGTAGGATACTGAGCTCCTAGTAGAGCTCGCTGCAGTTTGGAGCCAAGCCAAACCAGGAGAAGTGCCTGGAGACATGGAGTGTTTTGTATTTGGGTTAGATTGTGATTTTTATTTGAGTTTGACTAGAGGACCAAACTGTGGCTATTGGGAAGGAGGAGACCATGGGTCGGGTGCCTAGGAGTCCATTGTTCATGGGTGCCTCCTGTCCATTATCAGGGATAGGAGCTAGGCCAAAGGAGAGGAGCCTGAGCCTGGCAAGTGAAACTGGAACCCTACAAGGAGCTTTAGCCATGGCAGGGCTTGGCCGAGGAGCTGAGATGTCAGACAGTGGACAAAGGCTAAGGGCTTGGCCAAAGGAAAAGGAGCTAAGGCTGGGATGGCAGAAGCCTGACAGGTGCTTTGAAGCCTGAGGGGGTGCTCCCTTATGGGGGAGGTGCCCCAAGGTGAGTACAGACCCCCAGGTGTGAGTTGGACCTAGCAGCAAAGATGGAGCTGGCCAGCAAAACAACCAGAGGAGTTACTCCTGACCTCAAGAACAAAATAACTAATGGGAATTGAAATCACGTTTATCGTAGAGAGTTCTATTTGATTTTTTCTTATTCTGAGGTCCCATTTAACTTCTCCATATTATTCAGTGCTATTTGTAGGAACCCGCCCCCCCAACAAAACAAAAAACCAACCCCACCAAAACCCAACGCCCCTTCTCCCCCTCCAAAAAAAAAAAAAACCCAAACAAACCCCAAATGATAGTGATTTTGTCTTTGTATATTTTTATTTTTATGTATATTTTTTAGGTTTTTTAAATGATTTGGGATGGGCTAAGGTGGTGTTTCTGTTTTCTAAGGAAGCTTAAGCTCTTTCAGGAAATATTAGAAAAGGTTAACTATTTTAGCTTAAAGAAAGCTGTTCAAACACATATTTCTTGAGCCTCTGAAGAAGGTGGAAAGAAGGTGGGCTGTCAGTGATTTTTGTGTTTCAGAAAGAGGGTCTGTGGCACAAGAACATGCTCACATGTGTAATTCTATTTTTTCTCATGAAGTCCTGTACACAACTATTTTATATTGGAAAATTCTCTTGCTCCTTAAAATCCACTATGATGTTAATGGTGAATAGTAAAGCTCATTGCACTGCACTTTGTATGCCAATCAGTTTCTGTATTCACTTATTTCATGCCCTGTGTGTACATTGTGACTTGGCTGGGATGAGAAATTGTAGCTGGCAACACTTACTCTGATTTTTCCTATACTGCTCAAATAGCTGCACAGGTTTGACAGAAGTTTTATAAACCATAATGTAATAAAACCATCATAGGCTGAACTGAGTGAAGAAGGTGTGCTCTGAAAATAATAATAATAAACATTTGATCAAAAGCATACAAAAATGCCCATCTATGTAGTGAACTGCCCATGTGCAGTTCAGTACATCAAATCTTTGTCAAGTCAGTTCGTGGATACTAAAAGATGCTGATCTGAAGGTTAAGAACAGAAATATATTAACCATTGTGGAATCCATACTGAGAATTGAACACTAATAGAGAAAAATTTGTTAGGTATTATTGATTTTACCATTTTCCACCGAATAGCTAGAAGACTGCTACTTAACTGTTCATTGGCTTTGCTTGTTTGCTTTACATTTAAAATGCTATATGTAGACCTGTATGAGTAACAATACTAAATGGAAAGTTTATGAGCTAAGGGATCAGATGGTGAAATAAGTGCTAAATTATCATATTAACCTGAAGGGACTTCAAATATGGATTAATTCTGGAGGGAAAATTAATTTAAGCATTTTCCAGTCTTATCTTCAATAAGTTTTCATCTACATTACAAACCAAACACAAATCATTAGAACCAGACATACATATGGAGTTAAAAAGCAGACATCGACAAACTGGGTACCTACCGGGTAGGTAAGGTTCAAGTGGATGGAATCCTAAGGAGAAAGGGAGTTCAGGAGAGAGAGCACTTTCTAAAAGAGGCAATAGTAAAAACACGAAAGCAAGCTACCCTACAGCAGAGAAGATTGAAAGAATAGTAAAGGGATCAATTTGGTTGAAACAGGAGCTATTTAGTAACCTAAAAATCAAAAGCAATGATGCAAACAGTGGAAACAAAGACACATTGCTAAGCATGAGTAAAAGAGTAGCATAGTACATAGCAACAAAAGGTGCAGGTACAACATGAACTGTAACCATCAAGGGACATAAAACACAATAAGAAAAGGTTCTATAAGTATGTTAGAATTAAGAGAAAGATGAAGAAAAGTATAGGTCCATTAGTTAACAGGAAAAGTAAGCAAATAATAGATGATACAAAGAAGGCTGAAATATTTATTGCCTTTTTACTTTAGTCTTTAAAAAAAAAAAAGCTTAAACATTAACAAGTGATTGTAATGCGATTAATATCAACCACAAGGGATAGGAACACAAGACACAGTAGAGAAATAATAAGTAAAAGAATATTTATATAAGTTAGATGTATTCAAATTAACAGAATGTGGGGAAATCCACTGTAGAGTACCTCAGCTAGTAACTGAAACAGTCTCTAAACCATTGGGCTAAGGGTCAGAAATTACACGTAAAGTGGTATAAGTGATCAGAAACCAGTTCAAATGTGTAACACAACAGAAGTTCAGTGCACATAAACCACTATCAAAATGAACAAAACCAGTTTAAGATAAACCTGAATGGATGTAGTACCAAACTTCAGTGGTTTAGGTTAAATCAGCTTATTGAATTTCTGTCCTAGATCCCCTCCAGATTCAAGTTAAGTGACAGGCTAAGTATAGACGGTCAAAAAGCCTGAGGCTGAATTGATTCAATCTTTGCAGGTTAGTCTAAGCTGCAAAGATTGAATCAATAAGCAAATGAACAGATTTAATAGATTTTTAGGGTTGGAAGGGACCTTGGTAGGTCATCTAGTCTGACCCCCTGCCCTGGGCAGGAAAGAGTTCTGGGGTCAGATGACTCCAGCCAGGTGCTTGTCCAGTCTTCTCTTAAAGACCTCCAGGGTAGGGGAGAACACCACCTCCCTTGAAGCCCATTCCAGATTCTGGTAACCTTTACCGTAAAGAAGTTCTTTCTGATGTCCAA